TAACTACCACCTGGTGTGAATGGGCAGAGAAAGGGGAGGCAGTGACTGTGACCCACTGTTTCAATTTGATTTATTTTCCACACACCCTATTTCTTCATTCCTTTTTCCTGAAGTGGTATTTTGCCACCTGCGGAAACAGTGGATACAGTCTGTGGAAACAGACTGTGGAAACAGTCTCTTAGTCCATTTCCAGGGCAAAGAATGTTTTGGTAATATTCAGAGTGAGTTAACCAAGATGAGGGCTAGTATAAGGGGTTGGATGCAGTGGGGGTACCGGGTGGTCTAGTTTTAAAGGATTAGTTTCTGTTACCCTGAACCTTGGCTCCCTTCTGTCCATGCCCTTCCTATCTTCCAGTTCTTTGCCCTTTCCTTTGTCAGCATTCCTCTCTGGGAGCCGAGGCCTTTGGAGATGAGGATTAGGCCGTTCTTATCTCTATTTCTGCCACTGAGTGAGGTACAGATTGGACCAGAGATATGAAAATGATCTTTTGAATGGGAATGGGAGGTTGGGACGAGAACCAAAACTAAAAAAAAACAAAAAAGGGCCTCCCCGGTGGCGCAGTGGTTGAGCGCTGGGTTGAGAGGCTGCCCGCAGCCTCTGCAGTGCCGGTTCGATCCCCGGCTGCTCCCTGGCCACCGGAGGAGGGTCCCATATGGCGTGCAGACCTCTCTTGCCACCAGCTGCTCCCCTCAGCAGTGTACTTCAGTCCTTCTGGCCTGCTCTGCTCCCCGCTCTGGCTCTGGTGAATTCTCTCACCCTCCCGCGCTTCTGACTGTACCCAGTGCTTGTATAAACAAAACAAACAAACAAACAAACAAATAAATAAAACATGCCTCTATTAAAAAAAAAAAACCAAAAAATAAAAAAAATTAAATTTCAGGAATTGGAGAAAATGGAAAGTCAAAGCAAGGATTCTTGGTATGGGGGTGGGGATGGGGGGTAGGTATTTAAAGAAAAGAATATCTATCTTATGGTCTAGAGAGAAGGAAAAACCCCAGTCAAGCATTCAGGAATAAAATAAGTGTCACACCTAAAAGATCTTAGTAGGTTTAAGAGTGCTTTTGTAAATGTTGGCATTGTGATATCAGTGGAGATAGTCTTCTTTCCATTCCATAAGTCAATGCTGAGTAACTTAGAAACTTCACTCCATTTTTCTCTTTCCTAATCTTGCCTGTGGAGAAAGAGTGTGTTACTATATAGAGGCCTAAACTTGGGAGTTCCTCTGAAGTTAGAACAGGAAGTGATAGGAAAGTAGAAGAAAAGATAAATAGCTGGAAAATTAGTTCCTGATTATAGAATGAAACAACTCCAGATTCTTTTACATGAACGGGGGTAGCAGTATCTACAAAAGATAAGAGCAGAGCTATTCACAGAAATTTCTGTGATGACAGAAATGTTTTGTACTGTGTAATATGATAGTCACTAACCACATATGACTATTGAACAGTTGAAATGTGGTCTGTATAACTAAAGAACTTGGGTTTTTGTTTTGTTTTGTGTTAGATTTATTTATTTATTTATACATACAAGAACTGGGGTATAGGCCAGAAGTGTGTGGGGTTGGGGCGGGGGTGATGAGAGGATTCACCAGAGACAGAGTGGGGAGCAGAACAGGCAGAGCTATCAAAACACACTGCTGAGGGGAGCATTGGGGAGACAGGAGAGGTCTGCTGCGCCTGTGGGTTAGTTCCCTGGCTGGGGATTGAGCTAATGCCACAGTGGCTGGCGATAGCTTGATGGCACTGAGACTTTAACTTCTACACTACCAGGGAGGCCCCCTAAGGAATTTGTTTTAGTTTTATTTAATCTTAATTAATTTTAAGTCTAATCGCCACATGTAGCTACTATTTTGAGCAGCGCAGGATTAGAGGTGGTATTGAACTGAGTATAATATTTCTTCCGATTCAGTTCATGGTTTGGTGGATCTAGAGAAATCAAAAAGAAAAAGACCATGGAGAATAATAATAGCAAACATTTACTGTGTGCCTGCTATAATTCCAAGTACTTATCTAAATCCTTAACAAATATTTTATATAATCCGTGTGACAACACTAAGTACTATTATTATCACCTTTTTGCAGATGAGAAAAGTGAGGTATAGTGAGAGTTTTACTTGCCTTGGATTATGCAGCGTTAAGTATGGAGTCAAGATGGAGTTCATGTATTTAGGTGCTTGAATACAGAATCTACACACTCACCTTACATGGATTCAGAAATGAGGGACATGGAGTGACTGAAGCCACAGTTCCCAAAATCCATTCCTGGGTGCAAGTCACAGGGGTGCTAAGGGAGATTTTTTTAAATGAAGGGCAACACAGCAATAGTCGATATCTCTTGTATACCGTGTGAGCTACTAGCTTGAGGTAGTTCGCAATTTGAACACTAGATTGTGTTAGATTCTTTTTGATGACAAAATAACTTTGCAAAACTGAGTTTTAGGAGGTCCTTCTGATTAAAAGGTGGTACTGTGTGAAAATCAGGGCCTCCCTGGTGGCACAAGGGATTAAGCAACGAGCTATGAAGAAATCCGCAGCCTCTGCAGCACAAGTTGGATCCCTGGTGAGCCAGGGAGCAACCCACATGGCACAGCAGTGAATCTGAATCTCCTGACTCGCCCGCTGCTCCCGTCAGCAGTGAATTTCAGTCAGTCTCCCTGTTCTGTTCCCCACTCTGTCTCTGGTGAATCCTCTGACCCCCCACATCTCTGGCCTGTACCCCAGCTCTTGTATGCATAAATAAATAAATCTTTACAAAAATATATAGGGTGGTGAAGCAGGCTGAGCGCAGCGCCGTGAAGCTGTCAACTCCTGGGTTCAATTCCCAGCCTGCCAGGGAGATTCCCACATGGTGTGGCAAACCTCTCCTGTCGCGCCTGCTGCTACCCTCAGTAGTGTATTTCGGTTGTCTGCCTGTTCTGTTCCCTGCTCTGTCTCTGGTGAATCCTCTCACCCTCCCCCACCTCTGGCCTGTACCTCAGCTCTTGTATAAAAATAAAAATGAATGAATCTTTTAATAAATAAATAAATATTTAAATAAATAAAACATCAGAAATTTATAAAAGAAAAGAAAAGAAAATCAGCACAGAACAGGAAATGAAGACAGCAGTGTCAGATTCCAAAGTCTGAAAAACTGTGCAGTGCCTAATAGGGACACACTTCCAGTAGTACCTATTTGCAGTCATTTGAGAAAAATTTTTTTTTAATTTATATTTTCTTTCAATTTTTGTGTATTACTTTTTTCAAACAGTTACTAACTTGTAAGGAACCAACTACTTAAAAATCAGAACTGATAGGTATTCCTTTTCACATGGGGTGCTGTGAAAAAAATGTTAAGTTACCTAATACATTATAAGCTGAGGAATTGGAAACTTCTAGACTGGGGTGTTACAAAATGGTCATAAATGAATAGAGCATAATGACTTGGCTTGAAGTGAACTAAAGAGAAATGATAGACATTTAACATTTTTTCATATATTTGACCATTAACTATCTACTATATACCAGTGTTCACCATTTAGCAGACACACACACACACACAAAACCTTTCAGGAATCAAGTACTGATAGATATTTCCTTGGATTGACTTTTACTTATCACTAATCTTATTCACCACTTACAACATTTAAAATCATGCTTTCAGGGCCTCCCCGGTGGCGCAGCGGTTGAGCGCTGGGTTGCGAAGCTGCCCGCGGCCTCTGCGGCGCCGGTTCGATCCCCGGCTGCTCCCGGCCACTGGAGGAGGGTCCCACATGGCGCGCAGACCTCTCCTGCCGCCCGCTGCTCCCCTCAGCAGTGTACTTCGGTCCTTCTGCCTGCTCTGCTCCCCGCTCTGGCTCTGGTGAATTCTCTCACCCTCCCGCGCTTCTGACTGTACCCAGTGCATGTATAAAAAAAAAAAAAAAAAAAAAAAAAAAATAAAATCATGCTTTCAATCTTTCAATTGTCCATAACCATATTGCTAAGGCAAAATTTTATTTTTAGCTCACTCTTTTGTTACCTGTTAAAAAAATTACTGAATGAATAAGAATGGTAATAATAATAATAAACCAAAGTCACAATAATGACACAGTAAACCAGTCCTTTGATATTGGACTCGATTCTTTATTCTTCTTTCACATATAGTCTTTACTCTTCTGTTCCTGGCGCTAAAACAGTTCTGGTACCTAGCCCATGTTCAATAAATAGTCGTTACATGAATAACAAAAATATTGGCTTGGGCAGATGGTGAAAGGATAATAGTTCAGAAGAGTGGAAACAAGTGGAGGATGTCAATAACTATGCAAATACCACTGATTTTTTTTTAATACCACTGATTTTTGATGGTTAAGTATGAGGTTGGTTAAATTTGTAAAAGTAGGGAGAAGAAATAGCTGAATTCTTACAAAGATCTTATCTTCTGTATTTTAATCTTGGGAAGAGTCCTTCTTTAGTTATCTGAATTATTTGGATCCAGTATTTTGCCTATCAACAGAGGATACTCGTTGCCCCATCCCACCCCCATCCTTTGTGTGAAGGATCGCCCCTAGAGCCTGTTCTTCTCTTCATCTGGGACTGAATTTAGACTCCTGCTGTGTTCTCCCCAGTATGGAAATCTCCAGGTTAGCACTACTGCTACGATCGACCCTATTTGTTTTGTCCAGGAAGAAACTCAGACACAGGATCTCTTAATTTTATTCTGGGGCTGCACAATCTAAGGTTTGAATTTTTCTCTTTTCAAGTCTCTCACGCTTTGCATTACACCCGAACGGTATTGCACGAAACAAGATTGGGGCAAGCTTCTAGTCCTTTTGGCTCGTAGGTTTTCTTGCCGGAGACCACCGCCCAGCGGACGTGAGGGTGTGGTAAGGGTGTAGTGAAATCCTGGATTACCCCCGCGCAGTCCCTTCACCCAACCCTCCGTGGGAGGAAGGCGGATGGGCTTCAGAAAGGGTCCAGCAGGGAAAGATCGTAAATTGGATTTATTGCTCAGCCTCAGGCTGCTGAATTGGGTGTGTCGCCAAGGAAATGGGGCCTGCCCTCGTGCTCAGCTGCCATTGGCTGCGGAACCCGCCCGGGGATATAAAACAGCCGAGCAAACAGTGCACTAACTGTGCCAACCTGACCCGGCGGCAGAAGTTCAGCTCAGCGGAGCAGATCGCAGCGGAGGAGGGCAGGCTCATCGAGAGGGCGGTGGCAGGACCATGGAGAAAGAAGAGTAAGGCGGCCACCAGGCCGGAGGCCCCTGGGGAGGGGAAATATCTCTGGCGGAGAACTGGAAACCCGGCGCTGTGGGCCCAGAGGGGGTTGGGACAGGGAGCAAGTGCCTTGGAGATGCAGAGGCCTGGCAGGGAGCCGATGTCAGGGAGGAGGTGGCAGAGCGGTGGGGCAGCCAGCGGCTGCCAGGCGCGCGCGGGAACACAGCATGGGTGGCGCCACCGGCGCAGGAAGGAGACAGGTTGGAACAGTGTCGTCTACTCATAAAAGGAAAGGAGCGGTGTGTGAGCGTGTACGAATGCACACGCGTGTATGCGCGCGTTCTAGTGTCGCGGGAAGAATCCACCCTCACCCCACGTGCTCACCATAAGATTTCCATTCTAGGGTCTCGTGAAAACCGAGGTACTTTGGGCCCCATATCTAGAGCTCCTTCAGAGAGGCTACTCACCTCCCTCAGACAAGAAACACCTCCCTCCCTACCAAACTGGAAATCCTATTAAGTTGCAAATAGTTTCCCAGGGGAGGGGAAATCTTTCCTTGAATTGAGCAAATGGCCCTGCCCACTCCTCCCACTTTATATTTTTGAAAACTCTTCTCTTTGCTTTGGTTCTGGAAATCCCAGTCTGTCTCCAGCATTGGGGAACACAGTGGCTTTTGGAGACCCAGGGTTCAGGGGTATTCTTGGAACCTATGGCCAATGAAGAAGTCCTATGGGCTGTGGCTAGAAATACTAAATGGCCAGGATTTCCTTTGCTCTTCTTGGGGATGTTATTTGATTACCTTTCTGCCATGTCATTGCTTCTCTTCTCCATCATCCTGTGGCCACAGCTTATGGCCCCAGCCCTGGCCCTTTCCCAACTATTTCTCTGAGGTAGTTAAATGTATTGTCGAATCATGTGATTTTAAAAAGCTCTGTTTTTGAAGCAAAGAATTTTCCCTGGAGACTAGGCTAGCTGTCTTCAGCTCACACCAGTTTCACTTTCTTTTTTTCCTTTTCACTCTTTGGCCTTTTCAGGTGGGTAAAAGAAAATTGAACTGGAATTCTGAGAAAAATCCTGTTAGGGGGTTGTATGGGTCCTGTGCAATTATATATCCTTGGATCTCTGAAGAGCAAAGAACCTTGGAGAAGAAAAGGGAAGAAGACCATACAGAAAGAGGGCCAGGGAAGAGGATGCAGGCGGGGGGAAAGTTTAAGTGCATGGACCTCAACCAAGATTTATAGCCATAAGACTTTGGAGCTTCTTAGCAAGTTTCTAGCTCATTTTCAAAAGGATCCAGTAAGTTAAGTGGGGCTGATTATGCTCCTTTACTTTAGACTGAGGGAGAACTAGAAACATAGGCTACTTCCCTAAAAAGACAAAATTGGGGGTAGAATCCAGGTTGAGTTCTGATTCCCTCAAAACCTGAAATTCCTAAATCTGTTTTATTGTTTTAATACTGTAATTTATTAATCCCCTCATGAACTACCCACATGATCACCACAGGTAAGTTGCTGCAGAATCTTTAATCCTTGCTTTTGCCAGCACCAACATTGGCAGTTGTAGTTCCTCTGTCTTCAATCTTTTCTCTCAATTTTTTTACTCTCATACAGACTATGTCTTGCAAATCTATGTTAGGGTTCATTTTTCTTTGTACAATCCAAAGAATCATAAATTATGCCAAAGGCTGTTGTCTTGCAGCCAACCACAATGGGTTCTGACTCTGGATACAAAGATGACAACTGGGGTGGTCTTGTGCATTTTTAGTTTGTTTTCCCCTATTTTCTGTTTTAGATACAGTTGCTTTCCTAGGGTGAAGGACATCAATGACCATTTGGTTCCACGGTAGTCTGTTGGTCATGAACTTCCTGATCCAGATAGTTATTGTGTGGCAGTGGATCTTCAGGCAGTCAGGGAGGACAAAAGAACCTAAACTTGGTTTTTGAGTCAGGATTAACTGAGGCACTTTTGTAAAAATACAAATTCTAGAGCCCTTTCCCTAGAATTATTAATCTGTTGGGGTGCATCTATAATCTATTTTTTGCAAATTGCTGCTGGAGAAACTACCAATTCCAGTTCTGTTCTAGCTGTTGACAACCAGTGTTGGGGACTGGGTCTAAGTTTTTGTGCAGTAGCTTATCCCTGTCATATTTTATATGACAGGGGTCTGTGTCTGCCTGGGGATCTCAGAAATACATACTGGGAAACCCATAATGGCACATAAGCCTCTACTATGAGTGTTCCCATCAATTTCTTCGTCAATCAAAAAAAATAGACTATAAAATTTGAGAGGAGCTGGAAGGTGAGAGTACAAAGTACAAAAGGAAAAGAGGGGTTATCTTTCTCTCCAGGTAATTAGTCTTAATTACATTCTGATTGTCTTTAGGGATAATTAGGGAACTAAGCAAGATTTTATTGGGTTAGTAACTGCCCTGAAGGAGAACCTTCATCCAATTTTGAGTGTGGAATCCTTTTGCTCTCCTTGATTTGACAATTTTACTGCACTTCTATAAATTCTGTCAAGAAATTGAATTCAAAACTGTGGGTCTGCTACTCCTAGGCAGCCTATTTGGCCACCATTTTGTCACCTAAACAAGGTCAAAGTGGCCCGGCCAGTTAGGAACAGGAGCCCAACCCTTCAGCCCTTCAAATCAAACAAGAGCACAAAGGTGGATCACCTGGGAAGGTTATGCATCACAAGGTATGTCCAGAACACCTGGGTGGGGGGGGCCTGAGCACCGATGCATAACATGTACCTCATGAGGTATGTCCGTAACACCCAGGGGGCTGAGGACCCATGCATAACACATACTCCCTACTTACATATCACGAGGTATGACTGGGAATGCCTGGGGGGCTGAGGACCAATGTATGACAAGGGACCCCAGAAGCTGATCAGTGGATCCCCTTGTTGATAAGATTAGAACCCTGGCTGAGGATTAGGGTGTGTCATCAAGTAGATAAGTGCCTGGAGGGTAGACTCACAATCCCTAATCTTCTTCACCCTTCCCCTTTCTTTAATCTCCTTCCCCTTAATCTCCTTTTGCTCCTTCCCCTTATAACCAATTACGTGTGTCAATAAAAGGGCCAGGATCTTGCTCTTCAGCAGCATCCTGCATTATGTAGCCTGCTCCACAACTCCCGTTTCTTTATCAGTGTGGTGTTGCCCGACACAACACAAAACTATGAAGATAAAAATTGGAGTTTATTTGGCTTCTTAGTAATTGCAATTCTGGGGAACATAGTGCGAAAGGTGAAATATGTTCCCCAAATGATGTTGGGTTTATAGAATTTATAGATTTAGTAGGTAGTCTCACACAATTGTTTGATCGGCTATGATTGATAGTGGCGCAAGCAAGACATAATGATCTGTGTTTTAGTCTGTCAACCATTACCAAAATTTTTGCATGTGTGCCTGGTTCCAGGGCTGCTTGTTTGTAGATTTAGTTTCTATAGGACTGTCTCTGGGTGGAGATATGTGTGAGCTATATTTCCTTTGTGACTTCTCTGGGTCCATAATAGGCTGATATGTGTAACTCCACTTTTGTTTACTTATTTCCACAACTTTATGTGATTCCTTGTTCAGGAAGGAGATGGAACTTGTCAGTAGTGGCAAAACTGGAGTTGGCTGGTGGTGACATCAGGTGTCATTAACCTTTGCCATGTTCTGGAATGAGGAGGGTATTTCATATCAGCTATTCAGTGGACCAGATTCAGAAAGAATTTATCTGAGAGAGAGGAGCCTCCCCCGGGGGCTAGCTTCTCTGTCCCCTGCAACCTTGGTAGAACTGCCAGTCTTTCTGCACTGAAGGTCATTAATCTGTGATGCCCTTGGGATGAGAGTGAAACTCATTTTGATTTTCCTTTTTTTACCAGGTACACGTATGAAGATTACCAGCACACTGCCAATTGGCTTCGGTCCAAAACCACTCTCCAACCTCAAGTGGCAGTGATCTGTGGTTCTGGGTTAGGAGGTCTGACTGATAAATTGACTAAGGCTGAGAGCTTTAACTACAAGGACATACCAAACTTTCCCCAAAGTACAGGTACTGGCAAGGAGGAGGGTGAATGGGACTGAGGGATACTGATGATATTCTAATGAGAGGGTTGTAGTTCTACTGGATCTGATTATACTCTGTGGCATTTATACTCTGTAGCATGACTTTAAAGGAAATTCCATTAGTAGAATGTTCATAGCAGACAAGGCAAGTGTGTGTCAGTGGTGCTGAATGATTGTAACAAATTTCCCGCGCTTTACTGACTCATTTCCTTAGAGCTCTACGATATGTCCCACACATCCTCCTTTGCCCATTTACACAGTGGTTACCACTTACTCACACACCCATCTCATTTCTTTCAGTCTGCAGCTTAAATAGAAAAAACAGTGCCTGTAACTTTCCAGGACAAAGTGAGGGTTCTCCTGCCCCATGTCCTCCTGCCATTCCCAGTCTACCCGGCTGTAGTAGTCCTGGGCTAAGGTACAGCAATAAATAAACACACCAATTGCCAGGTTCTTGCAGACAAAGGCATAGATAACACAGGATGCCCAAGACCAGAGTCACAGTGACCCTTTGAAGGGGGTAAAGGTGGGCAACCCCCCTCCCCTGCGTGGTGGAGCTCTAAGGGATCTGAGGACAGCATATGCAGCATCTTAATAGCAGCAGGGAAGCTCTGAAACTGAAGCAAAGGCTTGTGAAAAAGCCAGGTGAAATAGGAGCAGTAAAAAAAAAGAGTAGTTTATTTGGTTTACTTATTAATTTCTCAGATAACTAAACTTCCCTTGGTTTACTTATTAATCATTTTGATTTCTAACTTGCCTTCTCTTTTTTCCTAAAGAGCTGACTTCCGCCCCCCCCCGCCCCACCCCCACTTTGGAGCAAGTAGGGAAGTGGGAATGGGGCTTGGAGAAGAAAATATTTAAGAGAGAAAGAGGGCAAAATTTTCTAATGGAGATAGCGACATTGGCCCCACCTGCCACTCCTCACCCCAGTAAGAGGGCCCTGCACTAAGTGATAAGGGAATTAATTTTTTTTTTAAATTTTATCGACTTATTTTTTCCAATTCTTTCAATAATTTTTTTCACTATGTTTTTTCAACTGAGGTAACTTTGGCTTTTAAGTTATCAATCAGTTGGGTTTCCCTATGTTACCTCTGTTCTGTTATTGTCAAAGTTTTTTAGAAAAACTCTACTCTGAGTATCCCTCAGCTCTTCTTGGTTTTGTTTCCTCAACCGGACCATCCACTCCCTAAGGGAAAGGTTGGCCATTAGAGGAGAAATGACAGATAAGGGACATGGTAATAATGGTTATTATGTCTCTGTGGGACGTTATCTTTGCACTCCCACACCCCTACGCACCCACTGTGGGTGTGTGTTCCCATAGGAAGGACTTTGTGGTTTTAAGGAAGGAGCCTTATGGATCCAAATTCAGCCCCTTCTCCCCCTGTTCAGTAGACTCTTTGAGAAACCAGAAAATACCATGAGTTCCCTTTTAGGAGTGAGGAGGCATAGTTTAGTTAGGAAAATAAATAAAAATACCCATCTCCATAATTTTGAACAATTTGGAAAAGAGGTCTATAATTACTACATTCACTGCATTTATTATTATCCGCTTTTTCTATTTTTGACTCATTTTTATTCTCTTTCAGTGCCACTTTCTCTCTTTTTTTAAAATAGATTTTATTTATTTTTGTGTAGAACAACTGGGTTGTAGGCCAGAAATGCAGGGGTGGAGGATTCACCAGAGACAGTGGGGAGCAGAACAGGTGGGTCTCCTGAGATGCACTCCTGAGGGGAGCAGCGGGAGAGATAGGAGAGGTCTGCTGTGCTATGTCAGTTAGCTCCCTGGCGGGGATGGAATTCAGGCTGCTAGGGTGGTAGCACTGAAACTTAATCCTTAGGCCACCAGGGAGACCAGCTTTCTCTAATTTTGGAGTTTATTGTAAAAAGACTGTCTTTCCTTTGATATCTGTTCACATTGAACATTCTTAGACCTCACCCCCTCCAACTCTAATCTCAGGATGTCCTTCTATACTTGTAAGTTGATGATTAATGTCTATCTCCCTTACCAGACTTAAAGGTTCTGAAAGTGGAGATAATAATGTTTCAGTGTTCAGTGGTTATGTGTTATATGAAAGCATCATCCCTTTCATTTCCCTTTCTTTTTGTACACAGTGCCAGGTCACGCCGGTCGCTTGGTGTTTGGGTACCTGAAAGGCCAGCCCTGCGTGATGATGCAGGGCAGATTCCACATGTATGAAGGCTATTCGCTCAGGAAGGTAACTCAGGGGTATGAGCCTGGTGGGACCTGGAAGAAGGGGGAGAGCACTAACTATCCAGTTTTATGACCTAACTACCTGAGCCAGGTAGATTTTCTGGCCCCCTTCCTTTCTCTTCTTTCATGATATATGTCATACCTATCTGCATGGGAAGATTGGCAAGATTTCAAAGAAAACTCTTTCTGGCCTTTTACTTCTGAAGGTGACGTTCCCAGTAAGGGTTTTCCATCTTCTGGGTGTGCACACCCTAGTAGTCACCAATGCAGCTGGAGGACTCAACCCCAAGTTTGAGGTCGGAGACATCATGCTGATCCGTGATCACATCAACCTACCGGGTTTGTGTGGTCAGAACCCTCTCCGTGGGCCCAATGAGGAAAGGTACAAATCTTTCTCCTTTGTTTCTAGGTGGGTGGGTAGGGTTTAAGGACACATACGGAAATTAGGAAAGAACATATGGTATGCATTAATCTAAGATAATCCAACCTGCGCCCCAGGTTTGGAACTCGTTTCCCTGCCATGTCTGATGCCTATGACCGGGATATGAGGCTGCTGGCTCATCGCATCTGGGAACAAATGAAGGAGCAGCGAGAGCTCCAGGAGGGCACCTACGTGATGGTGGCGGGCCCCAACTTTGAGACTGTGGCAGAGTGCATGCTGTTGCAGAAACTGGGGGCAGATGCTGTTGGTGAGAAGGGGAACTGGGCTGGAGGGTTGAAGAGGATAAGATTTGGTAAAAACAAGAATGGGAAGGAGTAAGAAGTTATAGACCTAGAGTGGATTGAGAGAATCTAGGAAAAGGAAGATTTCATGAAACTGGCTTCTAGGAAGATGTTAGTAGTGAGGTTTGGTGTGTTAACTTCAAATCTTCCCATCATCATTGATTTATTTATTATTTTTTTAAAAGATTTATTTATTTTTATACAAGGGCTGGGGTACAGACTAGAGGCGCAGGAGGTTGAGAGGATTCACCAGAGGCACATAGGGAGCAGAACAGGCAGATTACCGAAATACACTGCTGAGGGGAGCAGCAGGCAAGATAGGAGAGGTCTGCCACACCATGTGGGACTCTCCCTGGCTGGCAGGGAATCGAACCTGCTCTGCAGAGGCTGCGGACAGCTTCACAGCGCTGTGCTCAACCTGCTGCGCTCAACCTGCTGCGCCACTGGGGAGGCCCCATCACCCTTGATTTAAACTGCCATCAAGGGGCCTCCCCAGTGTGCAAGGGATTAAGCACCGCACTATGAAGCAATCTGCAGCCTCTGCAGCATGAGTTCGATCCCCGGCTGGCCAGGGAGCAACCCACATGGCGAAGCAGACCTTTCCTGTCTCACCCGCTGCTCCCCTTGGCGTGTATTTCAGTCTGTCTGCCTGTTCTGTTCCCCACTCTGTCTCTGGTGAATTCTCTCACCCCCCACACCTCTGGCCTGTACCCCAGCTCTTGTATGCAAGAATAAATAAACATTTAAAAATTAAATAAACTACCATCAACAGATACAGAACTAGGGTGTCACATGGATACTATTTGTAAGAAATGTAGGTACTCTGAGACCCCACTCTTGGAGCCATACAAAACAACCTAAGCTCAATACTAATTTAACTACTTCTAGGCTATTTCTTGAGCTGTTAAATTGTCCGTGAAGGGATGAATGGGGAGGTGAGGCCAAAGGGAAAGGAAAAGCATGAGTTGAGGGTCCTGACAGCTGGCTTCCCTCTTTCTGCCAGGGATGAGCACAGTACCAGAAGTCATCGTGGCAAGGCACTGCGGGCTGCGAGTCTTTGGGTTCTCCCTCATCACCAATAAGGTCATCATGAATTATGAAAGCCACAAGACGGCCAATCACCAGGAAGTGCTCGATTCTGGGAAAAATGCTGCACAGAAATTGGAAGAGTTTATCTCCAGACTTATGGATTGTGTTCCACAGACTGAGAAAACCTGTTAACCAGCCCTGGAGTGACCTGGCCTCAACCTTATGGGATCCAGGTAGCTGCTACTACTTCAGTCCCTTGCTCGGGCCACATGCCTCTGTCCTGTGGTAGCAGCAGAATAGAGAGGAAGATCCCTATCTTTCCTTTCCCTATTTCCCCCACCAGACTCTACTGGTGCTTGGTCCTCTTGAGAAGCTGTTTTCTCAAAAGGTTTCCACCTCTGTCCTTCCCCTAAAGCTGGAGCCCAAGCCCTACCACGCTTCTGTGGATATGCCCGAGATTTGATTTGGGCCATGGAAGTTGGCAGAATAGCAGCTGAGCTGCTGCTAGTTTTTTGAGATGATGCTCTCACATTCCTGGGTACTTAGTTCTGCCTCCCCCAAAGCACTGGAGACCACAAGAACCAGTCCAATACCTCTCAGCTTTGATACTATTGTATTTTGAGAATAAAGAGAAAGATGAAATAATTTCTTCATTTTTGTACAATTTGAAATGGGGCTGGGACCCAGGCCATGAAAGGCATGTGAAGGCACATATCTACATGACTGCTGCTCAGACTGGTAGCTCAGGACTGAGTTGAGGTAGAACGTGAATGAAGGAAAGGGTGAAGCAAAGGCAAAATGATGAAAGATGTTAGAAGATGAAGAAGGTGGGGCTAATTTCTGGCACATGGTGGCCACCTCCTTCAGACCAGACTTGTTTTCATCCCTTCTGATTGCTTCACTCCCTGATCATTCTCTAGTGAATGTTTGAATTAGTTCACTGATTTCAGTTTTTATTTCATTGTTGCCGTTTCCTTGTTAAGCCCCAATTTTATTTCCTCTTGATTTCCTTCTCTCCCCTACTCCAACACATGCCGTAATTATCGTGCAACTATACTCCTCAGCTCCATTCTGATAATGCAGGACCAATTGCCCTTCCTCTGCGGCCAGCCACTCCCCAGCTGGTTAGAGTCCTGCCAGCCACAAGCAAACATTGAAGTTGTCTCATCCTCAGTTTTTCCTCCTGGGGACTCAGTTCTGCCTCCCCCAAAGCACTAGTATCTCCTTTTGCCTTCTTTTGGGGTTCTGTTTCTCTTCTCTTGCTTGAGCAGAACCTCCTGTGAAGCGGAATGAGCTCCCTTTCGTTGGCTCATTCACTATGTCTGTGCTAATCGACTTGCATTCAGCTGGCTGGCATGTTTGGAAGCCACATCACCCTTATTTTGTGTTTGGCTTATTTGGTGTTTGGCTTTCTTAATCCTTGGGTTAGGAACCAGAATGGTGCCACCCTGAAAAATAAGTCCCACAGAAACTTGTGTTTCTTGAATGGAAAATAAGGGTATTTTGAGAAAGAACAGTGCTAGGTGAGCTAATGGTGGTGACATTTCAGTTATCAGTATAATATGGAAGAGGCATTTTGAACCGAAAGCTTTTAAAACTTTCGAATCACCCTTTGGTGGCTGACCTGATTAGCTGAGCCCAACACAAAGAGAAACATCCTGGTGTGGTCCTGATACCCTTTTCTCTCACCAGTACTCTGAACCCCAAACCAGGTCTAAAACTTGGACAAGCTACTAGCAACTCATTTATCTCAGAGCTGGTTTAGAGGGAAGTACTGTATATCCTTTAGATATGGACACATTCACAGCTAGAATGTGTTCATTTAATGATGTGGCTTGAGGATGTCTCTTCAATCAAATCTCTATATAACACTCTTAGCTAAGAAAATGTTAAATTCAGACAAAAATTGGTCTTTCCTTGTCAGTGCCTACAATCTTAAGCCACACATTTGGAGCCCATGGTAAGGGATCATCTGACACTATTGGTGGGAATGTAAACTGGTCCAACCATTATGGAGAGCAATATGGATTTCCCTCAAAAAGACTAAAAATGGAAATAAATACCTGGGACCCAGCGATTCCAATCTTGGATATATATCCAAAGAATATGAAGCCATCAGCACAAAAACCACATAGGCAGCCATGACGACTGTGTTGTGTATAGGAAGCTTCATATAAAACTTTCAGCTTAGTCTTAAGTGATGGGGAGGAGGAGGAGGATATCATGCTAGGGTGAGTCAAAGCACACAGCCTTGAAAAGCACTAGATCTGTGCCTGGGCCATTGTCACACACATGACTAGAACTGAGGACATCAAGCAAGACATGGGCTGATAGGACACTTTGGGGATTAGAGGGAGGACGAATTTGGTGTTTGACTTTCTTAATCCTTGATCTGCTTCTTGGTAAGATGGGTCAGGAACCAGAATGGTGCCACCTGAAATGGTGCCACCTTGAATGGAAAATAAAAGGGCATTTCTAAGTTTTTAGACTTAAATGGATTTACCATATAGAGGTATCATGTATTTCAGGATAGAATACTAGACTCAAAAGGAAAGTTATACAGGCCTCCCTGGTGGTGTAAGGGGTTAAGAGGCAGCCTATGAAGCAACTTGCAGCCTCTGCAGCACGAGTTTGATCCCTGGCCAGGGAATTACCCACATGGCACAACAGACCTCTCCTGTCTTGCCCACTGCTCCCCTCAGCAGTGTACTTCAGTCGATCTGTTTCTGTTCCCCACTCTGTCTCTGAGTCCTCTCATTCCCCGGTCCCACTCCCCCCCCCCCCGCCCCCCAACTACACACACACACCTCTGGCCTGTACTCCAGTTCTTGTATGCATAAATAAATAAATCTTCAGGGAAAAAAAAGGAGGAAAGTTATACATTTGATATCTTAATTCAAGTCTAATTCATTAGTTCTAAGCTGAAGTAAAAAGCAGAAGCTGCTTTTTACACATGTATATTATTATATTCATGTTAGAGCATTACATATACTCCCGGTGATAAGATACAAAATTGTATATTCTTGCTTGTACAAACTAAGAGATATGACAAAGGTAGCTATGGGCCAAAAGGATGAAATCTTGCTATCTGCAACATGGATGGAACTGGAGGGAATTGTGCTAAATGAAATAAGTCAGAAGGAAAAAGACAAATACTGATGATTTCACTCACATGTGGAATATAGAGAAAACAACAGAAAACACCACAAAGGAACTGACAAAACTAAGCCAAAATAAACCCAAAAAGTGTTGCTGCATAACCGAGGCCATTAGATGGGGAGGGAAACAAAGGTAGCCGCACAAAGGTCCAGGTAAAGAATGACAGGTGCTTGGATGTTGGGGTGGTATGTTGACATACATCTGGGTAGGTGTGAACCCACTTCCCTAAATCATATTCAGTGTTGTAAACCAATGTTACCTCACTAAAGGAAAAAAATAAACTATAACATTGTTAACAAATAAAAGTAGCTATGGACAGGTAATAATTATAGGTGATAGGTATTAATTCTAAATTAGTTCAATAGAATTCTAGGTTTTAGGAAGTATGGATTGGGGAGTGAAAACATGAACACAAAGTGTCTTTAATTACTTTAAAACAGCTTTATTGAGATATAATCACACACAATAAAATCCTCTCATTTAGAGCCTCCCTGATAGTGCAGTGGGTTGAGCACAGCGCTGTGAAGCCATCCTCAGCCTCTGTAGCGCGGGTTCGATTCCTGGCTGGCCAGAGTCCCACATGGCACGGCAGACAGCAGTGTATCTCAGAAGATCTGTCTGTTCTGCTCCCCACTCTGTCTCTGGTGAATCCTCTCACCATTCCCCCACACCTCTGGCCTGTACCCTGGCTCTTGTATGCATAAATAAATAAATCTATAAAATACATATATATATAAGCAAATAAAAATACATATTCTTATATTTCCTCTTTTTATTATTATTTTTTAAAGATTTATTTATTTTTATACAAGAGCTGGGGTACAGGCCAGAGGTGTGGGAGGGTGAGAGGATTCACCAGAGAGCAGAACAGACAGACAACTGAAATACGCTGCTGAGGGGAGCAGTGGGCGCAACAGGAGAGGTCTGCCACGCCATGTGGGAGTCTCCCTGGCCGGCCAGGAATCGAACCCGTACTGCAGAGGCTGCGGACAGCTTCACAGCGCTGTGCTCAATCTGCTGCACTACCGGGGAGGCCTCCTCTTATTATTATACACAGAAGTTAGCAGTTATATGTACTGTTTCTGCATCTTGCTTTTTATCTTAATAGTTTTTTTATAGAGTTTTTTTTTTTTAATAGAGTTTATTAGGAAAAGGGTCAGAAAAGTAAAGTACACTTGCATAGACACAAGCGGGCAGGAAGAACTGCCTTAATAGTTCTTGGAGATCATTTCACATCAGTAAATTAGTGAGCTTTTTTTTTTTTAAAGATTTGTTTATTTATGATTACAAGAACTGGAGTACAGGCCAGAGGTATGGGAGGTGAGAGGATTCACAGAGCGGGGAACAGAACAGGCAGATAGACAGAAGTACACTGCTGAGGGGAGCAGCGGTTGAGTTAGGAGAGGTCTGCTGCACTATGTGGGTAGCTCACTGACCGGGGATCGAACTCACACTGCACAGGCTGCCAACAGGTTCACAACGCTGCACTCAACCTCCTGCGCCACCAGGGAGGCCCTAGTGTGCTTTCTTGATGAGTTAGATCCATGCCATCAAAGACACATATCTGTCACCTCAAATTTTTTAGAAGCAAAGGGATAATATAGCCTTAAATTTCTTTTTAGCTATTTCCCAGTTCATTTGTTGATTACTAATAGGAACAGAGACAAAGAAAGGGACCTGCTGTCCCTTTAAATCATGAAAGGGGGGAGAAAAGAACAGTTCAGGCTGTGCTGTGCCTTCCATTTAAATCAGATCAGGCTCTGATTTGCATTGCCTCTTCTTTGGAAATAGGCCTCTGATTTTCATAATTACTTTTTGTTTCTAAGGGGCAACTTTTGAACAAGCACTGGTTATCTGCCTGGTTTTCCTGTTATTGTAAATTTCAATTGTAATAAAAACAGAAAATTTCCTCTCTTTAATCTTTTTTTGCCAGATTTTATGTTCCAGTCTAGATTATATTTTATATTATTTGGAATTATTCTGCTTTCTTCTCTTGTTTTTAGGTTAAAGAACCTCCCCTCTCCCCATTTGGTTTTCATTTTCACGTCTATTTCAAGTTCCTTCCCTTTAGGAAGCTTGCTTTATTCCACTTGCCAATTTCTGGTTTTTTTTTGTTGTTGTTGTTGTTTGTTTTTTCCTGGTTCTCTTCTCTTCTATTATGCTATGTCGTTTATCAACATGATTTGATTTGGGTCTTGCTCTTTCCTTTTTCTCTTTTATTTCGAATGGTTTCTGAATCCCTACTATAATTTATAATAAAAGATTAGTAGGAGGGCTCCCTGGTGGTGCAAGGGTTAAAGTCTCAGTGCTTTTGGGCAATCCCCAGCCAGCCACTGCAGCATGATTTTGAACCCCAGCCAGGGAGCTAACCCACGTGGCCCAGCAGACCTTTCCTGTCTTGTCCACTGTTCCCCTCAACAGTTTATTTCTGTAGATCTGAACTGTGCTGCTCCCCACTCTTTCTCTGGTGAGTCCTCCCTCATTCCGACCTCCGACCTGGACCCCAGTTCTTGTCTGTATGGGTTAATAAAATAAATCTTTAAAAAAAAATAGATTGGGTCTCCCTGGTGGCTCAAGGGGTTAAGCAAAGTGCTGTGAAGCTATCCACAGTCTCTGCAGCACAAGTTTGTTCCCCTGGCTGGACAGGGAGCTACCCACATGGCCCAGCAGACCTCTCCTGTCTCACCCGTTACTCCCCACAGCAGTGTATTTCAGTCAGTCTGCCTGTTCTGTTCCCCACTCTTGTCTCTGGTGAATCCTCTCCCTACCACCACCCCCGGCTCCCCCCACCCCTGCACCTCTGGCCTTTCCCCCACTTCTTGTATGCATAGATGAATCAATCTTTTTTTTAAAGATTGATTTATTTATTCATACAAGAGTTAGGGGACAGGCCAGAGCCACGGGGGCGAAGGGCAGTGAGGGGATTCACCAGAGACAGAGCGGGGAACAGAACAGGCAGATTGGTTGAGGTACATTGCTGAGGGGAGCAGCAGGTGAGTCAGGAGAGGTCTGCTGAGCCATATGGGTTGCTTCCTGGCTGGCCGGGAATCAAACTCCTGCTGCAGTGGCTGCGACTAGCTTCATAGGTTGCATCTTAAACCTCGTGCCATGAGGGAGGCCCCCAGATGACTAAATCTTAAAAAAAAAAAGAAAAGATTAGTAGGAATTTAGTGCTACTTTATGTGTAACCTGAGTGCTCTAGTTCTATCAAGAGCTCTTTTTACTCATCAGAGGTTGTACAAGGTCAATTCCAGATCACAATATTAATCCTTATTGCTCCCTCAAATAACATATAGTTATCGCCATTGTTTGTATCTTACCATCAAACAGTGTATGAAATAATTTGTCAGCAGGAGATAAAGCTGATATTTGGTACAGTGATTGTTTTTGATGTGCTTATTTTGGAGGTGAGGAGATTCTCATTCTGGAAATCCATAGATAGGATTTTACTGATTCTGATATATAGTGATGGTTGCAACACCGAGTAAAGTTGTTAAAAATCATTGTTGTACACTTGAAAAGGGTAAGTTTTATTATTTTTGAAATTTGCCTCAAAAAGGTTATATCAAAAATAAGAAAGTAGGGCCTCCCCGGTGGCGCAGCAGTTGAGTGCTGGGCTGCGAAGCTGCCAGCAGCCTCTGCAGCTCCGGTTTGATCCCTGGCTGCCGGTGAGGGTCCCACATGTCGCAGACCTCGCCTGTCTCGCCCGCTGCTCCCCTCAGCGTGTGTTTCATCAGTCTGCCTGTTCTGTTCCCCGCTCTGGCTCTGGTGAATTCTCTCACCCACCCGAGCTTCTGACTGTACCCAGTGCTTTTATGTATAAATAAATAAATAAATAAATAAACAAATAAATAAATCTTTAAAAAAATAATAAAGGGGATGAGTCATTTCAAATAGGTTAATTCAGGGAAGATATCACTGATGAGCTGGCATTTGAACAGAAGCCTGAATAAATGAGGGGGTGAGCAATAGACTTTGAACTCAGCAATTTAGCAATAGAAAGACAACTGATATTATTAGAACACAGTGAATAATGGGAATAGTGGTGGGATAAGTTGGGAGATGTAAGAAGGTAGATCATGTAAGAAGATCATGGTAAGAAGTTTGGGTTTTATTTTGAACATGAAAGAGCTTTTTTTGAAATAGATTGACCTTTAAGAAAATAACTCACTGGCTTTGAACACTGTCAATTATAAAGGGTAAAATGAAAGTAGAGATCACATAAGAGAGGACTGAGGTAGGGCCAGCCTTGTGGTGCAAGGGTTTAAGTCAGTCTCAGCACTGTGAAGCTATCCAGTCACTGCAGCACAAGTTCGATCCCCAGGCAGGGAGCTGACCCACATGGTGCCGTAGACCTCTCCTGTCTTGCCCGCTGCTCTCCTCAGCAGTGTATTTCAGTCAGTCTGCCTGTTCTGTTCCCCACTCTGCCTCCTATGAATCCTCTGGCCTGTACCCCAGTTCTTGTAAGCATAAATAAATATATCTGTAAGAAAAAAAAGAGTGGACTGAGGTAGACAGGTAGACCAGGTTGAAAGTTGCATTTGGAATGGGCCAGTAGTGGTGCTGGAGATGGTAAGAAGAGATCTTTATTTTTTTAAGATTTATTTATTTATGCATTCAAGAACTGGGGTACAGCCAAAGGTGTGAGGGTGATAGGATTCACTAGATCCAAAGAGCGAAACAGAACAGGCAGATTGACTGAAATACACTGCTGAGGGGAGCAGTGAATGAGTCAGGAGAGGTCTACTGCATCATGTGGGTCAGCTCCCTGGCTGGGGATCAAACTCGTGCTGCAGGGCCTCCCCTGGTGGCACAGTGGTTGAGCGCTGGGCTGCGAGGCTGCTCGCAGCCTCTGCAGCGCCTGTTCGTTCCCTGCCACCAGCGAGGGTCCCACAAAAAAAAAAAAAAAAAAAAAAAAAAAAAACACACAACAAACTCGTGCTGCAATGACTGCGGACAGTGCTCCTACTTAACTCCTTGCACAACTACGGAAGCCCAAAAAGCCTGCCACAAGTCTAAGGCACGTTCTGGTGAGCACGCATAGGAAAGGAGCAGAAGTGGCCAGATAAATCTGTAAGGGAAAGAACAAAATCAAGATAAAGGCTGTTGGGCCTCTCAGGTGGCACAGCTGGTGGAGAGCTGTGCTGTGAAGCTGTCCGCAGCCTCTGTAGCGCTGGTTCGATTCCCAGCCCACCAGGGAGATGCCCACATGGTGCGGCAGACCTCCCCTCGCCCGCTGCTCCCCTCAGCAGTGTATTTCAGTCCATCTGCCTGAGCTCCCTACTCTGTCTCTGGTGAATCCTCTCTCCCTCCCACGCCTCTGGCCTGTACCCCAGTTCTTGTATAAATAAATAAGTCTCTTAAAAAAAGAGGCTGCCATTGTTAACTTCCCCATGGGTCTCTCAAGTTTCTCCTTCATGTCCTTCAAGCCCCGGTACAAGTCCAAGGCTGAGAAGCAAGTGCAACTTCTTTACATGTCTCTTGTCCATGTGCCTCCTCCAGGTCTCCTGTGCTCTCCTTTCTCCTTCCTTCCTTCTCCATTCTCCTCCAGCTTCTCCTCCCTGCTCAGCTTCACTTTCCATGGTGGAATAAAGAACCTGGAACATTTACAGGGCAGGAAGGGGGACACCCCAGACCCTGCAAACCTGCCTACTCTAAATGGGTTCTGCCATCTGCTGCATCAACACAAAACATATGAGACTTTTATGGAAGGAACTTTAATGCA